CTGGAGTTTAAAGCGAAGGGCACACAAATTGCAAACCCTTCTCTCTTGCCCTAGCACTTGGGTTAGGCTGACCTTTAGCCTTGCTGCTGCCTCCTGCTGACTCTGGGGGTGGTTGGTGTGTAAGCTGGGAGAGTCTGGTCCTTTTAAAAATGACTTGTTGGCTTCACGTCTTTCTTCTTATAATAACAACAAATGTTTGTTACATTAAAAAAGTAGAAATATAGACATGGAAGCACCAGAGAAGTTGGGGAAGACTATAGAACCAAAGAGAAAAGAAAAAAAAAACTTCTTCCCATTTTAAGATGATTATTAACCTACTCAGATACCTTTCTAAGTCCCCTTTCTTCTCCCCTTCTTCTTTTCTCCGTTCCCCTTTCAGTTTTGTTCTCTTTCTTTCTCACTGGCACTCTCGATCTTTTTCTATTCCTTTCTCTGTGTGTGTTTTGCTCCATACATTTAAAAACCTGTAGCATATATTTGCATACATAGGACAAGTGACATCTGGTTTTATAATTTGCCCCCAGCCCCTCTCCTTTCAGAGCATTGTTGGCATCTTTCCTGGTAGATCTGAGGATCTGGGTCCTACCTTTTATCAGCTGTGCACAATCCTGTGATTTTTGGGTGCTGCCACTTATTTACTCGGTTTTTCGTTCATGAATATGCAAGTCATTCCACCATTTGTATGAACCCCCGACATGGACATTCTCGCACATACATCTTTGCCCGCTCAGCTTCAAAAATAAAATTCCCAGAAGCAGAGTTCCTGGGTCAAAAGAAATGCACACGAGACATTTTCCTGCACATTCTTGAAATCGTCCCTAAGAAGATCTCTTTGCCTGTGCTCCCACCGGGAGTGTGGGATGAGGGCACCCTATCACTCCCATGTGCAGTGCGACCACTATCACATAGTTAACACGTGTGTGATGGACAGGGCTGGTCATTCTTGATTTCTTTCACATTTCTTCAATCATTAAAGAGACTGGGTGTCATTTCCTATGTGTGTCATCTATTTACATTTCGGCTTGGGTGAAAATAGATTTTCTACTGGGAAAGACTGTATCTCAATTTGTCAGAGATCTTCCCGTATTCCGGTCACTAAATTTTTGACATGTATGCTCTACTAATTCCCTCCATGTGTCTTTTTTTTTTTTGGCTCTTTAATGGTGGCTGTGGCATACAGACACATCTCATTTGTATATAGTAGACTTTGCAAGTTGTTCTCTTACAATTTCTGACTCAGCTGTCATGCAAAGCAGGGACTCTGTCTGTGCTATGTTCTGGGCACTCAGGTTGTACCCTAAAGCAGGAGGGAGGTGGCACCACCTTTCAGTGACATTGGCGTAAACCCTGGTCTTGTCATTCCTCTGCTTGCGGCCTTTGTGAGGTTGCCTGATACTTGGGGAGGAGGAGTCAGCTCCTTAGCTGGATTCCAAGGACTCTAGGCCTCCCTGGTCCTGCCCCTGTTCTGGTTCTGCTTCACGCACTACGTTACACTCCTGCGTCCTGAACCACTTGCATCTCCCTCGCTCATCTCCAGGCCTTTGCACATATTCCACCTCTGCCTGCGATGCTCATTCCTTCTCCGTTTCCCGAGGAGAAATCCTAATGAGCCTTAAACACCTTGGCCGAGTGTCGTGGACTCCATGAACCTGACTGACCCCTGACCCTATGTTAGGTGACCCCCCGATGCCAGTCTGTTGGAGGACATGCCACAGGGAGCTGTGCTAAGGCATCACTTGTCCGTCTCTCTGCCAGCCCACAAGCCCCTGGAGTTTGGGCCTGTGTATTGCTCACTGTTAAGTTTCCAAATCCCAGTGGTCCTCGCCACATAGTTGCTGCTCAAAAAACATTTGATGAATAAACAGACTCATGAATGAGTTATAGACCTGCCCAGTGTCAACATCCTCCCTCCAAAGACCACCAGGGACACACCTGTGGTTGAACAAGTTGGGGAATTGTGGGCACCTCAGTGAGTGGGTGTTAGAAAGGACTAGGCACTTCAGCAAGGGCATCAGGAAATGAGGCTTTGCTCTGGCTCGGATGCTAGCAGGAGGAGGTGGGGGCAAGCCTAAGATTGGGCATCTCAGTAAATTTTATCTAGAGGAAGGGAAGACCAGACTGTGGCTGAAGGAGTGAGGATGGGGGACGTTTGGTCATTTTTGTAGCTTGAACACTGTGTATGTTTTATCTGTGTTCACACACTACTACAGAGGGTCTCCTTTGTGTCTTGATCTGTCTCGTTCACAGAGTGACTGGCCTCGTCTGATGCTGATGTTCTGAGAAATTGTTCATGTTCAACAGGAGAACACAAGCCTGGCTGTGAGTGCCAGTCAGGGTCCCGGGTTTCTGACCAGCTGCCCACTGCTCAGTCACCTGTCAGTACCTCTACTCTGCCCACCTCCGTCTGGCCTCCATCTTTGCCGTTCACCTTGTGCTCTTGCCCACTGTCAAGACCTGCTCCTGGACAGGGTCTGATATGGATGGTGGGGGAAGCATGTTCAAGTGCCAAGAATCCTGGACCACATGGGAAATCAGCACATTTATGCCCGGACGTGTGTTTCACTATTAATGGGCAGCATGACGTTTGTCCAGCCCTCTCTCCCTGAGGGTTCAGTTTCCTCATCTTTGAAGTGATGGCCTTAGGATCAAACTTCTAATAGGCCACTTTGTTCCACTCTGAGGGGGACTGAAAAACTTCATTATCTTCTGACAGAGGTATATAAGTTTTTGCTCCTGTTGAAATAAGTGGCTTCTGGCCTCTAGGGATGAGTGTAGGGGTTAAGTGCGTGTGTGTGTGTGTGTGTGTGTGTGTGTGTGTGTGTGTGTGTTGAGGGGATGACTTTCTGGCATTTCTAAACCCCACCATGAAGCAGCCCTCATGTTACCCATTCCAAGGGTCACCTTTCAGTTTTGGAACTTGGGAACATGAGTTTGGGGAGGGGGCAACCAAGGGTGGTCCTCTGATTCTTGCCTCTAGTCTCTCAGCTCTTCCACACATCTTCCTGGGCTCTCTAACACACAGCAAGCCCTCATCTCAGACCCTTTATTGGTGATGGGGCCATGTGGTCAATAGAGAGGTGGACTCTAGGGAGGTAATAAATGCAACATCCAGCCGGAACATTGCACACAGGGTTGAATGCTTGGTGGATAACCAGTGCTCCTTCATCTATTCCTTCTAGCTCTCGTTTCTTCTCAGAGAAAGAGAACCAAAAGAGAGGTAAGAAGCAGCCTGTGGAAGTAGACCAGGACATCCTCCTCTGGACTTGGGCCTCTTGCAAGTCCCTTCCTGTGAGCTCCCGGCCTGTTACCACGAATCCCCCACATTCAAGTTTCACAGTCCAGTGGCAAGGTCTTTGTGTTGTCACAGCTGTGCAGACATTCCTTACACTGCTGTTCCCACTAGATCCTGGCTGATGAGGAATGGAGACTTGAGTGCTGCGGCCCCGATTCGAAACCACCAGCCCCCTCCCCACCAGGCTGGTGTCTCTGGGCTCCTTCCCACCCTGTGCCTTGCTGAGGTGGCCCCTGTGGCAGGTCTGCTGGGGAAGGGGTGGGGCCTGTGGAGCAAGGTGCCGTTATCAATATAGAGGGTGGAATTTCAGGGTCAGTCGGGGCAAATTTGGTGGCATCTAGTGTGACGAAAAGTCCTGGTCAGGGCTTCAAGACCCACATTTCAGCTCTACCTCTGCCCCATCTCCCTGGTGACATCTGTGAAACCCTTCTTCCCCCAGCCTCACACTTCCTGTCTATGCAGCAAGGGCACCACCACTGCATCTGCCTCTCCTGCCAGAAGTCTGGCTCCCTGTGGAAAGGGATTCCCCAGGAACAAACCTCAGGGGTTTCTGAAGAGGCCTGCCTTTTCTCAGCTTTCCTGATTTTGCTCTCTCCTGGTGAGGCTGGGCTTCCGGCACAAGGTGCAGTGGGTTAGAATTTCAGACACAGCAGCATTGGAATCCTGGCTGTGAGTCCTGGATCAAGTCACAGAATCTCTCCAGCCCTCAGTTTTCTCACCTCTAAAGTGGAGATAATACTGTTGGTTTCATTGGATTGTTTGGGGGATTAAATGCAATAAAGCAAGCCAGGTCCTAACACAGTGCCTGACACACAGTAAACCTGCCATGAGCGCTATTATTATCATCATTGTTAGTGTTATTGTTGTTGTTTACCCCCTGACCTCTGTTACTCCAGGGAAAGGGAGCCCTTGCCTGAGTCTGAGTGGGCAGCTTGGCATGGCTTGTGGTGGTGGCCAGGGAGCCTGGGCTTGAGCCCTCTGTATGCAAGCTCCAGACGGAGGCTCCAACTAGAAACTTCCAGCTGCCACGGACAGGCTCTCCAGCATGCACTGTGCCAGCAGCCGGGGAGTCACCAGTATACACACATGTGGGCTGCTGTGGGCATAAAATAGCTCCCACGTGCACAGCACTTGGCCAGGCGCCTGCCTATAGCCCTCAGTGAATCATAGCCCACAGTACCGTTGCCCTTGCCACTGGGTGTAGCCATGTCCAAGGTGCAAGACTCAGATGCCCTGAGCATGAACTGGCTGTGGACCTCAGGCAAGTGGTTCAACCATCCTGATCCTCAATTTTCTCCTCCATATAATGGAATCAGTAGCACACCCTTCACAGCATTATTAGGGGGATTACATAGAACACAGCTATGAGGGTTGCTTGAGCTGCAAAGATTGACTCATGCCCAGTCCCTGTTTTGTGGTCAATATGGATGGGTTCCTTCATGCACTTACCCCATCCCTGCAAGTGCCCCTCTTTTCACTGGGGACATTTGTCCCATCTCCATGTTGGTGGGGAGGAAGACAAAATCCTCAATACCCATTCTTCCTCTGTCTCTTGTCCCAAAAGTTGTCAGCTCCAGGTTGCACTTGGCTCCGTGATTAGTTGACCAGCTGCTAAGAGACAGGAAAAATCAAAAGGAAGGGACACACACAGTGGTTTTTTTTTTTTTTAATTAAAAAGAAAATAATAAAACACAGACACTTCCCAGGGTATGCTGTGATGCACATCACGGGTGTGTAAATACATATAAAAACAAGAAAAAAGTCCCAGGAGCTGCAGGCATGGACCCCTGTGCAGTGGGCTACAGCTCCCTCCTTTGAGGCATTGTTTTTCTCATTCACCTCTCCCAGGCTATAAAAAAGGAAGCGCTCATTCAGCCTTGTTTCTCTTGGAAGACTCAGCCACTTTCAGCTCACTGGTCCATGACGTGAACACAGGAAGCTGGGCTTTACAAGATTTTGTAAGTGGACAGTGCTGGGGTAGGGGGCATGGCGTACATCGTTCCTCTCCCTGCCCTGTTCAAGGTCTCTGGGGCTGGGGCAGTGATGTCCCCCTGTGGGGAGAGGCGGGACACTCTACCCTTCAGGGTCATGAGCTTGGGTTTCCCTCCTGAATGACAGCAAAAGAAATGTCTATTGGTAAGTTAGGAGTCCCAGAATAGGGACTTGGGGCAGGACAAGGTGTGCCTGGGGCTAGGGCTAAATTTTGATGGACAGCCAGAAGGAAGTGGCTGTGGTTGCCATCACCAGCTGTCACACTGACCTTCCCTGACTACTCAACCAATTCCTCCATTCCTGTCCTTGTTCACCCAAACTTTGGGGGTCATATAGACCTGGACTTGACTCATGACTCTGTCACGTAGTAATAGTCCTGTAAAGTTACTTAGCTTCCTAGAGCCTCAGTTTCCTCATCTGTTAAACGAGGAGGTTCATATGAACCCCACAGGGTGACTGTAAATAGTAAGTGTGATTATGCCTTTAAAGAACCTAGTACAGCACCTGGCACAGAGTAAGTACTCAACAAATGGCTGCCGTGATGACCGTTATCACGCACCAGCATTTCTTCCACTGCAAAGTTGATGAGTGTGTGTGTGGATGTATGTGAGATAAACAGAAGGTTTACACAATGTTCTAGGAAAAGGGTGAATTCCTCTGAGCTTCCTGTGTACGTCTGGGCAGTTGAGCATCTTGAAGCACAGTGAGGCTGGCATGGAAGGCCTCAAAAGCCTTCCTCCTCTGCATGTCCATGTGGTTCCAGAGCTGTTCTGTTCTAAACCTCAGTGCCCTCCCTGGGGTAGAGGATGCTGTTTGCATTGATGCTGTTGTAGAAATGAGGGCTAAACTGGTTGAGGACAGAGCCTCCATAGCTGAGAGCATTGGTGGGCACCGGGTTGGCCCATTCGGCCCCGCCCCCATGGCTGCTGAGGTTGGAGAGTGGGGTGTAGGAACTGAAGTTCAGCAAGTTCTGCCCCATCTTGTCAGTGGGCTCAGGGCTCAGTCCCGGTGTCGCCACAGGGCGGCTCACCGGGCTCGAGCCGCTCACATAGGCTGTCATGGTGGAGAGGAAGTTGTTGAGGCACGGGGTACCCGATGGGGGAGGTGAGGACTGCTTCTCCGGGGAGCTCGTGGTGCCTGGGGAAGCACTGTCTAAGATGTCCTGGGTCTCTGTGGTCTTTGGGTTGCCTGCCAGGAGGCTGCTCTCTGTTTTCTCCGAGGCCAAGGATCCCGTGCTGGAGGAAACATCTGATTTTCTCTTCCTCTTCCTGCGGAAATTTCCATTATCGAACATCTTCTCACAGTTGGGATCCAGGGTCCAGTAATTCCCTTTGCCTGGTACAAAAGTGAGGGAATTAAGTAGAGAGATGGACAAAATGCTCTGCCCCTGTTTCTCTGTACTGTCACAGACTAAACACCAAGGAAACACTTGCAAAAGACAGAACAAAAGTCAGGGAGAGAGAAACAGAGGAATTGTGTACACCACCCACGGGGATCTTTATTTCAGCTCCCACCTCACACCTGGGCACTCTGGGAGCGCAGAGGCATGAGCCAGGAAAGTGCTTCCAATGCAGGCCTCTGGGAGAAGTTTGGGGGCTGGGGGAATGGAGAGAGGGACTTCTCTAAGGAAACACTTCAGGGCTCCCTGAAAGTTTTGGGCACGGAGTCCCAGGTTGGACTTGAGTCCTGGCTTTGCTCCTAAGTGGCAGAGCCACAGTTTGGGCAAGCCTCAGTTTCCTAGTCTGAAAAGTGGGCCAGTTGTACCAGTCCCTTCTCAGGCTGACAGTGAGAAAGGGCTGATGCTAGATGTGTGGCTGGGCCGTGTGACCATGAGCTACTGTCCAGAGGTAAGGCCTGAGCTCAGCCTGTGGGTGAGGCCAGTCCTTGGACTGGACACTTGCCTTCCCCTGGGGCCCCAGTAGCCCTGCCCTTGTAGCCTCAAAGTGGGTGTAGGTGGAGGCTCTGAGCCATGCCCTGGCTTCCTGTGGGGGAACAAGAATGGACTTTAATGCTGGGAAATGCATATCTGAGTATTTAATAGATTACTTTCTGTATGTCCCTGAATTTTAGAAATTCATCATTACAAAGGAAAAGTTTACAGTCTTCGGTGGTAGAGAGACCTCCACTCAGCTTTGGACTCCGTGGCCATCCCTCCATTCTGTGTCACCTTGGGCAGGCTGCTTTGCCTCTGTGTTAGTCTCCTCATCTGTACAATGGGTTTAGTGAGAGCTATGCTGCAGGCTTGCATTAAAGAACAGTATGTAACTATGGCAGGGGGCACAATGTGGCCCTTAGTGCTTATTTAGCAAAGTCGGATCTTTTCCCAGAAGGCTGGGGGTGCACTTGGCCTTGGCCTAGTCCAACTCACCCCAAGGACTTTCTATGAGCTGAGTTCCGGGGACTCAGATTAATCATAACAATGACTGTAGTCTATTGGGTGCTTGTTAGCATCAAAACCCCTGCACATGCCGTCTCACGACCCCCATCACAGGCCTGAAAAGGAGCCACTATTACCATCCCTATTTTGCAGGTGGGGAAACTGAGGCCCGGAGATCTAAAATGCTTGAGGTCACTGGCTGGTCAGTGGTCCAGCCAAGACCAAAGCTGCCTCCTGGGCTCTGTCAGTCTTCTTCACCGCTGACAATCCCGAGCCCCCGTCTGGGGGCAGGGGGGCACAGCCGTATCAGAACTGTCTACAACGGCGTGCTGGCTCGGAATGACATGAACCTTCCTCGGAGGGGGGGCATCGAGGCTTGCTGCACCCCCACCCCCCACGCTGCCCTGCAGCCCCTTACCCGGGTCGTCCTCGTCACGGGGCACCTTCTTGAAGCAGTCGTTGAGAGACAGGTTGTGGCGGATGGAGTTCTGCCAGCCAGCCTTGCTTTTGTTGTAGAAGGGGAAGTTGTCGGCCACGTACTGGTAGATCTGGCTGAGGGTGAGGCGCTTGTCGGGCGCCCCGTGGATGGCCATGGCAATGAGAGCCGAGTAGGAATAGGGGGGCCGCACCAGCTTCATCAGCTCCTCCTGCGAGGGGATGGGCAGCCAGCCCAGGTCGCCGCCCCCCAGCCCAGACACGCCCGGCAGCAGCTGTCTCTGCACACCGTAGGCCTGGGGCAGGAAGGGGCTGGTGTTGGTGCCCGGCAGGTAGGGTGGCGGAGTCATGGCCGGTCCGTTGAGCCAGAGGTAGGGGTTGGGGGTGGCCCCGTACTCGCCGCTCCCCTCGAAGGAGGGGGGCCGCTGAGGGCTGGGCACGCCCTGTGGATGGAAGAAGTTCTCATAGTAAAGGCTCATCTCGGGGGGCTCCTGGCCGATGCTGGGGAACTGGGGGCTGCAGCGAGGTGGGGAGGGCGCCGGGAGGTCGAAGGAGCTCATGCTGGGGCTGGGCACGGCCGGAGCCACCTGCCTAGCACCTGCACAGGGGAGCTGTCCCTGACAGGTGCTCTGCTGGCCGGGCCTCCCGCTTATACCCCTGCGGGCTTGGCCTGCGGGCCCCACCCAGGGGCGGCCACCTGCCACAGACCCGCCCCTCCTCCAACAGCCCTGAGAGCCAAGGGGAGGGGGCCTCCCGGCCAGGCCGGGAGGGGCTGATGTCCACAGTGCCTAGGGTGCCCCTCTTCCTTCTCTCTCTTCCCAGCTCCTCTGGCCCCCTTATTTCTCATTTCTCCTCACCTGGTTCCCCTTGTTTCTCCTTCATTCTGTCTCTCTTCCCATTTTCCCCTTGCTTTCCTGGCCCCCTTTCCTCCCCTTCTTCCGTTCTTAATGCCTTCTCTGCATCTCATTCTTTCCTTCTTGCTGCCAAACGTTCTTTCCCTTCTCTTCCTCCCCCTACTCTGGACAGTTTCTTTTCAAAGCACTGTTCTGGACACCTCTGCTCCCCTTCCTTCTCTCTCTCTCTCTCTCTGTATGTTTCTGTCTCTTTCTGCTTCTCTGTCCCCTCTTGCTCACCTCCTGTGTGTTTCTGCTTCTCTCCGCTCCCTTTCACTCCTGTCTGTCTCTCCTTTCCCTTCCCCCGTCCCCTCCTCTTGCCCACCCTGACCCCTCCTTCTCCGCCCCTCACTCAGGCTGGATTAGGTACTTTATCAGAAGCCACATCTTTGGGTCTTCTGAAGTGAAGACACACTTTCTGGAGTCTTCTGGAAAGAAGCTGGCCTTGGAGAATCGGAAGAGCCGCGAGAGGGCAGCCGGCTGGCTGTAGGCGCGCTCTGTGCACGCACGCACGCCACCACCCGGGGCAGGCAGGCGGACGGGGTCTGGGACAGGCCTGGGGATTGTCCTCAGGAGCAGGAGGGCCCATCAGCAGGGTGACCAGAGGAAGGCATTTCAGGGGAAGATGAGAGAGAGCTTGCACTCTGCAAGTTTCTTTCTGCCTGCAGGGGCCAAGCAGGCCCCCAGGCCACTATCTGATCAAAGCCCTTTCATGTTTCAGCTTGCAGACGTCCCGGAGCTGAGGCCTGGAGGCGAGCCCTCCACACCTCAACTTGCCATTCTCCTCACACCGTCTCTGCCTCAGGCTCTCGAAGCGGGAGTCCAGCTCCCCCTGCTTCTCCGTGCTACAGCCAGTCCCTCTCCTCTCTGGGCTTCATTCTCCTCCTGGAGCTTAGAGAGGACTTGCCCCAGGCTCCCTTCATCCCAGGCAGGCTCTCAGCTTGAGGGGAGGGGAGTGGGCCCCTTCTCGGAGGGCGGACAGCTGTCCCTGAGCAGGCTTTAGTGCAGCCTGAGTACTTCTCTCTTGGATCAGCAGATTGGAAGAAAGTTCCAGTCAGCTTTCTCTGGTCACCACCTCCCTCCTGCCCTCCTTCCTTCTCCCCTTTCCACTTCGTCTCACTTCCTCCAGACAGTGAGTGTCTGAGGTGGAAGAAGGAGGTGGCTTACTGTGGTAGCTGGAGGGGCTGCCTCCCAGGGAATGCCCCCGCCCCGGCTGCCTGCTCTCCTCTGTGGCTGCATCAGGAGACTGAGATGTGTGCAAGCCTGAGGGCTACGGAATGCATCTCATTTGCGGTGTATTAGTGCTCTGGACGATGAGTTGAGGTAACTGGGGGGAGGGGTCCTCCCAGGTCCTGAGACACCCCCTGTCCCCACCAGGGAACAGTGGAGGAAGTGACTCCACAGGGGCCTGACTGCTCAGGTTAGGCATGGCGTAAGCACACTCCGCACCTTCTCTCAGCAGAAGAGTAAAGCAGAAGAAGCCCCATCTTTGTTTCAAGTTTCCCTGCCGGGCCTGGCTTGCTGGGGGCAGGGCCATGGCTCTTTAAGAAGCAGTCATATTAGAGACCCAAAGCCTGATGGAGTAGCTAGCAACCCACCTGTGATCATTCATCCCACAGAATTCAAAACCATTCTGTTCACACAGCATTATTTACAGCTACGGCAAACCAACCAGAATGTCCAACAATAGGGATTGGTTCAACAAATGGGGTATCACCCAAATGAAGAAATATGAATCTAGGAAAAAGCAGATTGTAGAATATTTAGTAATGTTATGTTCTATTAACATTATTTAAAGAAACAGACTACAAAATGCCATTTTTTTGGGTAAAAATCTATACCCATACATGTATATGAACTTTGAAAATATACATACCAAACTGTGAATTATTATTTCTGGATGGATGTGATTTTTATTGCTGTTTTTCATGGACCCTGATTTAAATAAGTCAAGTCAAGGGGCGCCTGGGTGGCTTAGTCGGTTAAGCATCCGACTTTCGCTTAGGTCATGATCTCGCGGTTCGTGGGTTCGAGCCCCGCGTCGGGCTCTGTGCTGACTGCCAGCTCAGAGCCTGGAGCCTGTTTCAGTCTGTGGCTCCCTCTCTCTGATGCTCCCCTCTTCACGCTGTCTCTCTCTCTCTCTCCTAAAAATAAATAAAAATATTAAAAAAAAAAAAGATTTCAAAAAGTTGCCACCATTTCTCTATATTTTATTGAAATTTTAGAAAATTCTGAAAGAAACTTACCAAATGAACCAGTTCTTCCTCCTTATAAAAAAAAAATAATAATAATTAAGTAAACTGAGTTCTTGTGTCCAGAACNACTCCCTCTCTCTCTGACCCTCCCCTGCTCACACTGTCTCTCTCTCTCTCTCTCTCCTAGAAATAAATAAAACATTAAAAAAAATTAAAAAATAAATAAATAAGTCAAGTCAAGCACACAGGTGGGATCCAATGTGGAGGCCAGCAAGTGGCGATTGAGTGGAGATCTAGCAGACATGGGCTCAGAGGTCGGGAGGACCTGGGTTTGAATCCCAGCTTAGCGGCTGATTCTGCAAACTTGAGAAGTGATTGGTCTCAGCCTGTTTTCTCAAGTGAAAATGGGAATGATCCCACTGAACCCATGTAGTTGTTGTGGGATTCCATGAGGTAATCAGTGTAGCCAATGTAAGTCATTTCCCATGACTTGCAAAGAGAAGCTGTCACTAAATATAAGTCATTGTACAGTAGAGTCAATATGTACAGGTCGTCTCTGAGTTTGCTTCCTGGTGGTTCCATTGCTCCCTTTAGCAGCCTGTGGGCAGGGGCTGTGAGGCCGGTGGGGTCACAAAGAAGGAGCCAAAGGAGAGATACTCAGTGCAGACACCAACTGTATGGCCAGGCCCTGCCATCTACAGCTGACGGACACAGCACCCAAGTCACATGACAAGGTCACAGCTAAGCTGGTCAGGAGCCCTTCTCCTAACCCTTCTTCCACATTTTGCTGGGGTCTCCTTCTGTAGAGCCATTTGTATTTTATTCTTTTTTCATTAAAACAAATTTTTAGTGTATACTTATTTTTGGTAGAGAGACAGAACACAAGCAGGGGAGGGGCAGAGAAAGAGGGAGACACAAAATCTGAAGCAGGCTCCAGATTCTGAGCCTTGAGCACGGAGCCCAACACGGGTTCAAACTCACAAGCCGTGAGATCATGACCTGAGCCAAGATCGGGTACTTAACTGACGAGCCATCTGGGCTCCTCAAGGCATTTGTTTTTTGATGTCTATGTATTTTTGAGAGAGAGCATGAGCAGGGTGTTGGGGGGGGGTGTGGAACAGAGAATCAAAAGCGGCTCTGTACTGACAGCAAAGAGCCTGCCGACCCTGGGCTCAAACTCAAACTCAGGAGCCGCGAGATCATGACGGAGCTGCAGTCACAGGCTTTAACTGACTGTGCCACCCAGGTGCCCCCTGCAGAGGCATTTTTCTGAGGCAGCTCACCCAAGCCTCCCTGTTGCACCTGGGCCCTGGTTCTTTCCTCTGGAGGCGAGAGACAGCCCGGCCTGTCTTAGGAGGTGGGGGCCCGTGTGCAGCCTCCGCCTGAGTCCTGTGGCTGCAGCTCACCGTCTCTCCTATGTCCCGCACCTGGCCATGGGACCAGGTGCCCAGGGCTTCCCAGAGGCCCTCAGCCCTGAATTCCATGAGCATCGCTGCAGTCTTTGGGGTGGGTGACAGTAGCTGTCTGTTCCTATCCCCAGGGGAGGTGTGGGGGTTACAGCTCAGAAGCCCCCTGACCAGTCCCAGGGTCTCTGGGAAAGAAATCAAATGTCTCTATAAAAGAGGGTCATTTTGTGGAAAAAATTATTTTAGCCTTTTAAATTTCCCACAGGTGGAAATCTTAACCTGAGAAGAGAAACTTGAGGGAAGAAAATAAAAAGTTGGGCAGACGTGGCCCTGGGGCCGCTCAGGGGGTGCTGAGGCTGAAGTTCACTGTCCAGGAGGAGGCCTCTGGAAGTGAGAATGGCCACGTGCTCTGAGCCCCGAATTATGATATCTGGGACAAGGCAATAGAACATGGAAAACCCTGGGCTCTGGTGGCCTGTGGAGCTGGGTTCCAATCCGTCTTGCTGTTGGTAGCTGTGCAGTCTTAGCCATATTTCTTCATCTTCCGAGGCCTTGGTTTGCTTACTATGAAATGGAGCTGCACATCGAACCTGTCTCGTGGGGCTTATGCAGGAAAAAGTGATGAGATGTGCATACACCAAAGACCCCGAGATCCGGCATATGCTGGACGACAGGTGCTGACTGGGAGGTGGCTCTGGGCAGGAGGCCCCGTGTCGTTCACCACTGGCTCTCACCTTGGGAAAATCTTGCCGTTTGGGGTGACGCCTGGGGACGGAAGGAAGGCCTGCTGCTGTCCTGGAGACCATGCCCCACAGATAGCTGTGTGCACTGCTGGGCCCAGGAGCCCAAGGAAGCTCAAGGCCTACAGAAAGGGTGAATGTGCACAGGCCCCACCTAGACCATGACTTTCAGAGAGGCGGAGGAGTGTGCGAGGAAACAGGCCTGGGGGGTGGGGATGAATAACCAGAGGCAGAGGAGGCAAGTGGGGTGCGATCTGGCCGCTGCTGCAACACAAGGCAGTGCAGGGGGCAGACAGACTTTGGAGCCAAACTTTCTGCATCTCAAT